TCGCTGTTAATCTCGGCAGCAGAAATCAGCAAGTCATTGCAGGCTTACCCTCCCCGGGAGCGAGGACCTCCGAGCTAGGGGTGCAGACGAGGCGAACGGCGAAGGTCACGCTTCTGAGCCGCCTCATAGCGCAGTACAACAGATTTTGCAGTCTTGATCAGGTCTCTTCTGTAGAACCACCGGTTCTCAGAAGGGGGCTGGAAAGCGAACCTGGCAAGATACTACCGGTCGGGGCCTGTGCCCCACTCATCCTCAATGGCCACCACATCATATCCCTTACCAGGGATTGGTGGGCCTCATTGAGGGGGCCGGTCAGGGAATGCATCAGCTGGCGTAAAAGGTAGCAACTTGGATGCATGGAAGACCGGATAGGTACGTAGATGCACCGGGACGTCGATAACATACGACGGGCCGAAGGTGATGACTCCCAATGCAGGTCGCTGCTGAAGACCGGTTCCAGGACCGGTTTGAAGTCCCTGCTATGGCGCCCAGGTAAGTCTCTCTCTCCCTCGTGGTCATGGCCTCCGCCAACCTCTCCACTCCAGCCTACTCCTCTACTCGTCCAGCGCTGCTCTATCGCAGCTCTCCCCAAAGTGGCGCTGGTCCAGCAGTGCGACACCCAACTGAGGCTCCAGCCCGAATGTCCTCAAAGTGGAGGACTGACCCTGCTATATACCGCTGGGCCTGGCTGAGCAGTCCTCGGTTTGCCATCAGGATCGGCGGATATGATGTCTGATCAATGGTCCTGATCGCAGGCCCAAGTCCTTGTCCTATGATCCTGGCCAAAAACGGCCTGCCTGGGTCCCTACTGGACATCCAGGCAACCCTGCTGATGCAGCAGGGTCCTGAGGACTGGGCCAGGCACAAACAGACGAATGCCTGGTCCAGTTCCAGATACGGACAAATCTGACCTGGCCTACAATGGATGAAACTGAAATCCACTGGTCCGAACAGGCATCTGCCTGTTCGGACGAAAGGAAAAGTCCGCGACCCGACACATCTGAAACAGACAAAAATAGTCCAGACAAAACCCAGCAAAAATAATAAATGCTCAGTAAAGGAGAGCACACGTGGAACCAAGGGTGTGCCTGGCCTGGAAAAATGGCCGTGCAGCTCCAGGTCGCTCACCAAAAATGGGTGCACGGCCTGGGGGGCTGGAACAACCGTCGGGCCCCAAAACAGGGCCCGTGTGGCGGCCTCAGTATGCTACAGGCTCTGTCTTGTCTAAAGCAGAGCACAGTGGGATGACATGCATCTTGTGCTACACTGCAGGTGGGGAGGGAGGAGGGAGGGGGCTACACACTTTCTATTTTTCCTTCGTTTTTGTTTTTGCTGCTGTCTGATGATCAAGAGAGCACTCCCGCACACAACTCACGCTCATCGTGACTGTATCTGGATGGAAATATGACTCGTATAGATTCTCGAGGAGGGCACCTTGTGTGAGTGAAACAGTGCATACATACAGATTGGACCCTCCGATGGGTGAGCCCCTCAGTGGTAGACAACATCAATAAATTATCATTAAATTGCAAAAAAAACAGAAAAGAAGAAGTGTTCTATTCGATAGAGCGGTTTTGTACGTCGGAATTCCGAATAGAACACAAATGTGTCCCATTCGAATACATCGCATATGCGCTCTATTCGCAGTGCCCTTCTGTTTGAACAAAATATACTAGTTTTCTGAGTGGGGATCCGGGCCGCCCGGGTGACCGGCAGGCCCTAGGGAGGTCCCGGGCAGCCTGGCCGGGCCGGCACCCCCGAGTGCACTTACCTGTCGGGGGGTTTCGGACTCCTTTTTGACTGGTTTTGGCCTCTCGCGGGCCTACCGGGTTTAGCCGGCCCAAGAAACCGTCGCGTCAGTCCCGATAGGCCTGCTTGTTTTTTTGAAATTCCTGCCGGCTCTGTGGCCGCCGATCCAGCATGATCGACGGCCACAGAGCCGGCGGATCTTGGCGCCAACCTTCCGCCCCGTTCGAACCTCCGATCGGCTGGGGTGGTTTGCCACTCGCCCCCCAACACGATCGGAGTTGGTGTCGACCTGCTGCAGCGCCGTCCTGCTGCCGTTGCCCGTTGCCCGTCGCCATCGCTGTCGACTGTCCTGCTGCTGCTGGTACGATGAAGGCCCCGACTGTCCTGCTGCTACGATGAAGGCCCCGACGACGAAGGCACATTCTTCTTCTTCTTCTTCTTCTTCTTCTTCTTCTTCTTCTTCTTCTTCTTCTTCTTGTCGGAATCGTTTAGGGTTTGTGTAGGACGTGACAACGAACACCCTGCTGCTAGGGTTTCTGTAGCAGGTGACGACGAATGCCCCGACGAACTTCTTCTTCTTCTTCTTCTTCTTCTTCTTCTTCTTCTTCTTCTTCTTCTTCTTCTTCTCTTCTCCTCCTCCTCGTCCGCTCATATTCTTCTGCTTCTTCTCTCCTCCTCCTCCTCCTCCGCTCATCTTCTTATGCTTCTTATGCTTCTTATGCTTCTTCTTCTCACCTCCTCCTCCTCCCCCTCATCTTCTTCTTCTCCTTTTTGTCGGTTATTCGACAGGTCCTTTTCGTCATACCCAACCGCCGCCATACCTCGTTCATTCTTCTTCTCTCCTCCTCCTTGTCAGTTATCCTTCTCCTCCCCGTCCATTCTTGATCTTCTTCTTCTTCCCCTCCTACTGCTCCACTCATCTTCTTCTTCTTCTTCTTCTTCTTCTTCTTCTTCTTCTTCTTCTCCTCTCCTCCTCCTCTCATCTTCTTCTTCTTCCCCTCCTCCCCCTAGTGTTATCTTCTTTCCCCTCCACCTTTCTTAATCCTCTTCTTCTTCCCCTTCTCCCCCTGACGTTTTTTGTGAGCCTGTAAGTCTTCTTCTTCTTCTACTCCATCTTATCATTCTTCTTCTTCTTCTTCTTCTTCTTCTTCTTCTTCTTCTCCTTCTCCTTCTCGTCAGTCTTCTTCATTTTTTGTCAGTCTTGTTCTTCTTCGGAATGAAAGGGTCGATAACATGCATGCAGCAGACATCAGAGCAGCAGACAACAAGCATGCAGAGCCCCCAACCCAGTACATATCAGATGACATATATTCAGCACACAGCAGGCAACATACATGCAGACACCCCCCCAACCCCCCCCCCCCCCCCCCCCCCAGCCCCCCCCCCCCCCCCCCCCTCTAAAACCAAAATTTTATTGCAGATCCGGGGTTCTCTCGCCGGGCGCAGAACGCCCTGGTTTAGGGAAGAAGAAAAAATAAAATTCTGGGCGTTTTGTTTGGCCTGCCCGGTTTACCAGGGCGCCCCCCCCCGGGCCCAACCGGCAGGGGGGCGTGCTCAGTCAGCTAGTTTTTCAAACATCAATTTTTTTGGAAAACTTGAATACAACACGCATGCGTTATGTTCAGGGGAAGACGGTAGGCCAGGTTGAGTTTTGTTGGTATCTAGGAATGGACCAGGCATTTGTCTGTTAGTCCCTGGCCTAGTCCTCGTCCATTCTGGACTAGCCTGCTGCATTAACAGGGCCGCCTGGATGCCCTGTAGGACCCCAGGCTGTTTTGGAGGACTTGGGCCTGTGATCGGGACCATCAATCGGATGTTGGATTGGACAGTGCTGTTCACAGACTGTGGAGAGCTGGGTCAGTCCTCCAGCGGAGGACATTCTGGCTGGATCACCAGTTGGGCGACATGCTGCTGAAGAGCAGCGCCTATGGGAGTTGAACTGCACTAGCGTAAGTAGAGGAGGAGGTAGTTGGAGCACGGAGGCTGGTGAGCCTTGGCTGCTAGAGAGGTTGTTTTGGGCCAGGGTTGTAGGACCAGGACTTGGGCCTGTGATCGGGACCATCAGTCGGATGTTAGATTGGGCGGTGCTGATCGCAGACTGTGGAGAGCTCGCCCAGGCCCAGCAGCAAAAAGCTGGACCAGTCCTCCAGCGGAAGACATTCTGGCTGGAGCACCACCTGGGCAACATGCTGCTGAAGAGCAGCACCCATGGGAGTTGAACTGCACTAGCGCAGCAGTAGAGGAGGAGGAGGTAGTTGGAGCGCGGAGGCTAGTGCACCTTGGCCGCGGGAGAGGTGGAGACTTACCTTGGCGCAATAGCTGGGCTTCACTCCAGCGACCTGCATCAGAGGGATCACGGTCAGTATCAAGGACAATCATCTGCATCAGTTGAGAGAGCGAGAGAGGAGAGCTCTTCTTCTTCTTCTTCTGCTCGCTGATGTCTTCTCAGACCCTCCATAGCCACTATTAGCTTCTTCTTCTTCTTATTATTATTATTATTATTTCAGAGAGAGAGGAAGCGAGAGAGATTTCAGGTAGTGACTATTTCGGGCCTATGACTGCCCAGGATCTGATTCGACATTCTGGGAAAGAATATTATCGGACATTTGAGGGGGGAGTATGTTTTTTGGACTACTTCGAGTTATTTTCGTGTCTTCTCCCCCTTCTTTCTCCTTCGTCTCCTCCCCACCTTCATCATCTGTGGTTTCCTTCCCTTGTGTGTGCACAAGGAGTGATCTTTCTTCAATGTATGTTACGCTCCTTGCTGGTTTGCATGTGTCATGATGTCTGTGAGAGTCAAGTCTGAGTCTGACGAGTCAGATCATATCTTTGAGTCTTCGGCTGTGCTACATTGCATCATATCGTCTCTTTCTGGATGCACATTGCTTATTTTGCTGGTCGCGTTGTTTGTCCTCAGTCTTACACTTCACATTGGTGCTCCGTCGCTCATCTTCAAATGAGTATGCATCACGTCTTCATGAAGGATTATAGGTGGAGGTTTTTCAAATGAGGTTCTGTGTGTGCCCTCACACACTTTGGTGAATGGATTATAGGTGCAACTTGAATAAATAAGTCAGATGTGCTGGATGATTCATGGTGCTTCTTTAAACCAAACACAAGACAGAACAGATTATCCTTGATTATCCGATGCACGGTTGGTTGTGATGGGTGTGTTGATGTTGAAGTCATGAATGCCTCATTGATATGGAACTTTTACGTGACCTTGGTGGGTTACCATGTTGGTGCTGAAGGTATGACCCAGATGAAATTGAGGAGGAACAGAGAGAACGAGAAAGGCGAAATAAAGTAAACACAGATTTCCAGCAATTCGTTCGCAGGGTAAGAGTATTTCTCATGTCTCTCTGTGAACGCTGTGTGTTATTTGTGGCGTCCTAGGGTCTGCTTTGCCGATTGCAGCATGTGAGTGAAAAGATATGTAGAAGAGGGTGGCTGGAACGCTCTTGTGAGCATTCTCTTTTTCTTTCACTCAGGAGTCAGGACCAAGGAGCTCATCTTGAATCAGTGTGTTTTGAATTAGCAAACGGAATTTAACGGACACATTCATCTGGGATTTTTTCATGCTAGAAAGAAGGGATGAATATGGAAGCCAGGGTGGCCGGCGTTCAGTTCGGTCCGAACCCCCGAACCCGAACGCCGGAACGTTCGGGGGCCCCCCAGCCAGAAGTTTGGCGCGAAGGCGAATTTTTTTATTTTTTATTTTTTATTTTTTTAAAGGCTTTTTTGAAGTTTTTTTAACTTTTCGTTTTTTTTTGGGGATTATATCGGCTAACGCGGACCTGGACACTGGACCGATCCGGACCCAGATAACCAGTCGGTCGGGATATGATCCGGACATCCGGATTTCCGGACCAGTCCGGACTGTCCGGACATGGTCTGGATGATCATGTCCGGATTGGTCTGGATTGTAAAAAAACAAAAAAAACTGGCAGGTCTGTTATGCATGTTGAATGCAGTCGTATGACCATGACTTGGGGAAGTGTTCCAGGAAGACATAGCTGTTGGCATATATGACGAACATGAATGATCATTCCTTGACATGCACTGTGCTGGCACAAAACTGCTGCAAGGGAAGAAAAAGTGAAGAAAGTTCAAGAAACAAAAAAAAAGAGCACTTCGCAGTAAACTTGAATAACGGTAAATATTAAATAAAGTTCAAGACTTTTAAAGTTCAAAGCTCGAAGTCTGAGCTCTCTCTCTCTCTCTCTCTCTCTCTCTCTCTCTCTCTCTCTCTCTCTCTTGCATGTGCGCACATGTGTAACGAGGGCTCTCTCTCCCTCTCCCTGTGTGTGTGTGTGTTTGTGGCGGCGGCGGGTGGGCGGGAAAGCCCTCTGAAGTGCCTAGAGCTTGCACCTGAGGAGAATATCTCGCAGAAGTTACTGCCCGCGTATAGAGGACCGTGGCCGGTTCTAGAAGTTAAGGGCGGAGAGGATGGACCGTCCTACACAATAGAGATACCAGCACACCTCCACACCTACCCTGTGTTTCACGCATCAAAGTTACTGCCGTGTGTCACAAGCCAGCAGTTTCCCTCTAGACGGTCCATGATCCCTCCAGACATGGACGGAAGATATGACATTGACGGCATTGTAGGTGAAGACGTGTTCAGAACAGGAGGTAGAGGTCGTCCACAGAAGCAGTATAAGGTCCGGTTTGCATATCAGGAACCGGAGGATGACCGCTGGTTCACTAGAGCAGAACTTCTAGAGACAGCTCCCGATGTAGTTAGAGCCTATGAGAGAGATCAGAGAGGTAAAGGTCCTGCCTTGGACTGAGTTATTCTCGGAGGACCTCGAATTTAGGCCGCGGGAGTGAAACGGTATTCACCAGCTCGCAGTAGCTGACGCAGATCCCAGGGTTCGATCCCTAGTCCCCACCTTACCTGTGTATAGTATCTGTGTCGACCCCTGGAGTTGAACCCACGACCTGTGTATTTGTAACAGTTGGTAGGTTCCCGTAGGGTCCATAGGTAGCAGGGGTTCGATCTGTAGACCTGTCGAGTAGGAGTCTCAGTCAGGTCTAGAAGTCATAGCTGTAGCTTTCTTGAAAGGTCAAGGTCGTAGCTGCTACAGTCCAGAAAGGTCAAGGTCGTAGCTGCTACAGTATCGAAAGGCCAAGTCTACGGCCTTCCGGAAGGTCCCAGCAGTGGCCTTTCGAAGTTGCCCACGTTTAGGCTGAGGCGAGTGGGCAAGTGGTGAGGCAAGTGGTGGAGTCTACCCGTGCTGAGTCAGCAGTCCCAGTCCTAGGCAGTCCTGGTCCAGTCAAGCTAGTACCGCATGGGACTTTGTGCACTTCGGGCATGGGAAGGGGCCAGACCAACGAGCTGCAGAAGTATAAATCAAGCGGCAGCGCCCAGTCATTCATTCATTCCTGCGTGAGCCATGCGGAAGCGCTGCCACAGCGACTTGTGCGAGGTGGTCTGCAGTGAGCCCGAAGACGAAGTGGGCAGAGAGACGAAGCTTAGCCATAGCGATAGGGTAGCGGCGGCCATAGCCGCCATAGCTGTAGTTAGAGTTCAGTGTGTGAGTGTGTGAGTGTGTGAGAGTGAACAGAGTATCGCGTGTGGGATATCCAGGGTGATCCAGTGTATGCGAACAGAGAGTTGTGTTCTTGGTTGCCATATCTCGAAGTTCTGTGTGGGCGCATGTCACCAGTTTGCTGCGCTACTGTTTGCATGCATGTAAAGTGTGAACGAAAGTGAGTCTGATTGCACACAGGAGAGAAGGGCCCTCAGTAGTCCGCCATAGCCTAGGCATGTGTGAGGAAGGAGAAGAGGGAGGTCATGGGTATGGTGCACCTCTTGTTGTGCTGGCAATAAGAGGGAACTTCAAATATCGATTCTGGTTCAACCACTCATTGTTATTATTATTATTTGGGAGGAGAATAAGATTGGCGGAGGCAAGGAGGAGGAGGAAAGTGGAGAGAGAAGGGGGGATTTGTCATTGGTCTTGCTGGTGTACATCTTCTTCTTCTTCTTCTTCTTCCTCCTCTTCTTCTTCTTCGTTGGTCTCTATCTCTTTGCAAGTGCTTTTGTTTCTTTGCATTTGGGTGGCATTGTCGTTCCTTGTCAATTTGCACTCGGAAGTAGCCAGGATGCTAACAAAGAAAGGAAACCAAGGAATTGACAAGTGTAAGTAAGGGAAAACGTATGTTGTGCAAATGACAAATGTACATTGCAAGACAGAAAGCTTTTGGCTGATTGTCTCCTCAAAATTCGTTACTCCATCATAAAACGAAGGAAAAAAAAATGACAGCTAAGATATTGATATACTCCTCTAGAACCCTTCTAACGCTGTTAATGTCCCCTAACCCTCGCTGCTCAGGTCACACCCAATCCTGCCCTGAGGTTGCCCACATCTGCCCAACCCAATCGCGAACTCCCCCTCTTCCGAAGGACTCAGATGTGCTGTGGTATATCTGACAAACATGCTTTGGACTTGATACAGATTCAAGAGCTGTGGGAGAAGGACTTTAGGAATCTTGATCTGGAGTTTGACATTCCTTTCAGGGAACTTGGTTTCCCTGGTGTCTCATACAAGTCAACAGGGTTCATCATGCCAACTGTGAATTGTCTGGTATGACCCCCCCATCCTCTCCTTCTCCCCCCCCCCCCCCCCCTTCTTCCATGAATCGGAAAGCAGTAAGGCTCGGCTGATTGATTGCATCGAGACCCCCCCCCCCCCCCCCCCCCCCCCCCCTCGTTCTTGTGCGGTATCACCCCTCAATGAACCCATTCCGGGCTATACAGAGCATAAACTATAAGTGGCTTAGCACTCACATTTATCTTTTTCTGGTAAAGCTGTGTGATTTGAATTGCCTGTGCATCTCCTAGCCACTTCTCAAATCCCCGGTTGTCAATTTGGTGACTGACTCAATTGAGTGAGTTGACCTGCTTGTAACCGTATTCGACTTTGTCGCTGTTGTCAGTATTCGTTCAGATTTGAATACTTCTTATCTGATGAACAATCACTTACTTCTGGTGATAGTAATATGAGCAGTAGAGTTAGTTAACGAGATTCATTCAAATTTCAAACTCGTAGTTATGGATTCATGTGACCAATCGATTGGATTCTGTGGCTACCTGCTTTCAGACTACAAAGATGAAAACAGAGAGGGAAAACCTTGGAAATAGAAAACAAAAGAAAACAAGTGAAAATTTGGAAAATGCCATTGAAAAACGAGCACAGATCGGTTGGTGAGCAAGGTGGACAGAGATATGGGAGTGCATTTGCTCTGTGGGTCAGATCTGCATTGCCAAGCAAAGAAGGATTGTTGTTTGTTGGCTGTTTGGAGGCCTCACTCTGCCGGCTGGCCTTGTTGTCCTGTTTTGGATCATCATGGTAGTTGCTTGATTGTGATGCGGTAAATCGCCGGTAATTGCTTATGATCACGTCAGGGTTGATGTGTAGATCCCATTGGTTTTGTTTAGGCAGGATCTTGGGCATATGTGTCGGTGTCTAGAATTGTGTGCATGCCTGTGCTATTGCAAGGAACCCGACTGTTCAATACTTGCTGGCGTGCATCACATCACATGCATTCACACATATTTCTCAAGCTGCGATGTCTCACACAAAGCTCAATAGAAGATGAATGAGAACCAGGAAGTTCAACTTAATTAATCAACAAACCCAGAGCAAGGAGGCCACATCATAAGTCCAAATGTACAGCGCCAATCAAAGTCACAAGTCTTCTCCAATCAACATGAGTTCCCTGGCCTGGCGCTCAGCCAGCACCAGCTGCCGGACATCAACAACAGTGCTCAATAGGTAAGTATCACCATAACTCGCACCTCCCCCTCTCTCGTCTGCTTTCTTCTCTCCCTCCCTCCTGGTCTATAGTACTGGTTTGCCCTCACTCATCATGCATGCACACTCCCTATCACACGAGGATCTACTCTGAATACTACTCACTGGTACTCCTACTGCTACTAACCCCTCTATTACTACTAACTTCTGCTGGCGCAGCTATGGCTGCCTTCCCTCTGCCAGCACTCTCTTCTTCCTCACACAGCGCTGCTCTTCCGCCTAGCGCAGCTCACACACATCTAGCGCACAAGTGCCACAGCACTTCCACACTTCCATGTGAAGTGAGCATCTGTCCAAATGGGAGGCTGGCCAGTCCTTTATAGTGCTGGACTGGTCTGGCGTGGCCTGCATTCAGCCTCAAGTGTGCCTGGGACTCCTGCCCAGTACCGATTTGTTGCAAAGTGTGTGTCCCAGTATCTTTTTCCCATGGTCTGCTGCTGCTTGGGCCATCGGGCCTGTCTTTTGGACTCCCGATCTGAATCTGGACTGACTTATGGACTTATGACCGGACTGGGACTGTAGCCTTTGACTTATTGACGAGCAGACACGACTTTTCATCAAGGAGACATGACCGTTGCTTAGTCTCAAAAACTGTGTCCAGTACCTGTTCGTGCAGGACCTGTCATAACCCTTTCAAATTGACTTTCTGAAGTTTCTGCTTCATTATGGATGTGACTTTTCCCTCAAGAACTGTCTTTTGAGTTGCTGCTCGTGATTTTAAGCTCTGGCGGACAGAACCCTTTGCTGTGGGGGTTTTCATTCGGGGTCTAATTCGTAAAGGCCCTTTTACTATTTCAACTAGTTTGTAATCACTATGATGGCTTGATATATGTAGCTTGGGCAGTAAGCAGCTATTTTTTATCCTGATATTTGAGTGGCAGTAGAGATTCTTCGACGACTCCTTTTGATGAAGGGTTAGGCTACAGCTCATATGAGTTCTGGTATAAATTGTTTCATCTTTTGTCTGAAAATCCAGTTCCTATCAACTTACTATCAACCATACTATTAAGTTAGTATCAACTACTTACGACCTTTTCTTGTCCTTCTGCAGGTGGAGTTGATCGAAATGCCATTTCTCGTGATCACATTGAATGAGGTCGAGATTGTCAATCTTGTAAGAACTCCATCCATTCAGTTTTGCTTTCCATGAAAAGCTGCATAGTGTTTCTCCTTTCTGTTTTATAAAGTCAGTGCTTTCCTCCTCTCATTTGAGCAGGATAATGTGAGGATCGGAGTTTATACCTTCATTTGATACCTACGCTTCACATCTCTTACTGCAATGATAACATACCGTTGTGTACTGGGCACCTGTCATTGAGGTGGGATGGGATTAGTATAGCTCATTGTTCTGGGTTTCATGATCCTGGGAAGGAAAGTGGGAGAAATGGGGTGGTTGGTGTGCTCATTTCTCTTTGTTCTTCCTTGCAAGATAAAGTTTGGTTCAGCCGGGGGAGGTTTTGAAGTTTGGGGCGACAGGGGGAAAGGGAGGGGGAGGGGAGGGCGAGGAAAGGGGGAGGAGAGGGAGGGGGAAAGGGTTTGAAAATGCAGAGTGTCTTGCTCTTTTGTGCGAAAGAAACTGACATTCAGTATTGTTAATGTTGTACACATTCAAAGGAAGGAAAGGTGGGCTTGGGGGAACGAGGATGCTGGGTAACAATTGCTCTGCTTGCTGCTCTTTGTTTGCTTCCCCTTACACTCTGGTGCTCGTTTTACCATTGTAGGAAAGAAACATCTAGATTCTTGATCCAATCCCTCCCATTTTCTCCTCCCCATCATGTTACCTATTAGGAAAGTATTGAACATCAGTTCCTTTTAGTACCTCATGATCACCTCCAGCTTTGTAACCTTGACTCCCAAGTGTCTTCTTAATCGTGTTTCTATTTTTTTTCTCTTGCATGACGATTGGCAATGTGCAGGAGCGTGTGGGGCTGAATGTGAGAAACTTTGATATGGTTATTGTTTTCAAGGCAAGTATCTGAGTTCTTGTTCATTTGTGTATGCCCTCTTTGTTGTTTTGTTTTTCAAGCGACCACTACTTGGGATGGCCCCCTAAGGATGGGCTGGTACGTGCATGGGTCATGGCTACAAGCGGTAAATGGCTGGCTGTAGACCAGCTGAAAGCGTTGTTTCAGTCAGCAGAGTTGCGCTGTCCAAGAAATCACAGTAAATTAGGCTTGGAGTTTGTGGCACGTTATTGAAGCAAACTGAGGGAAGGTGGGAGCAAACAATGTGGCAGGTTTTCTCGAATCGCGTATATTCGCAAAGTGCGCTCTTTTAGTTCATAGTAATGTGACAATATACTGGTATCATATCACAGGCATGACAGGGCTACCYTAAAAAAMCAGGATCACATGCATCATCAAAAGTACTTCGAGACCTAGGTGACAAATCACAGTAAATTAGGCTTGGAGTTTGTGGCACGTTATTGAAGCAAACTGAGGGAAGGTGGGAGCAAACAATGTGGCAGGTTTTCTCGAATCGCGTATATTCGCAAAGTGCGCTCTTTTAGTTCATAGTAATGTGACAATATACTGGTATCATATCACAGGCATGACAGGGCTACCTTAAAAAACCAGGATCACATGCATCATCAAAAGTACTTCGAGACCTAGGTGACCACGCTTGTCAAGAAAATATGGTATGGTTAAGTGTTGTTTCATTAAAGTAGGCTCATAATATGTGGCGGGTTATTGAAGACAACTGAGGGAAGGTGGCAGCAAACAATGCAGCAGTTTCTCTGCAATTGCGTATAGACTGCTATCATGTTATAGGCACGAGAAATACCTTGAGACCTAGGTGACCAGGTTTGTTATACAGCAGAGCATTCAGTCTTGCTTAGAAATGTGGTATGGTTTGAATGGGCTTGTCGCAGTGAACAGGCTGGATGTTGGCTGGATGTTGCCCGTCAGGTGTGAGTGGGCAGGGGAGGCATGTTGGGAAGGATTGGTAGGAGGGGTGGTCACCTACCCACTCAACAATAACCTACTGCCTCAATCTGTTCTTATGGCAGATATTGGCATAAGAGAGAAGAGGAGGAAGAAAGTCACAGGGGTACTTTTGTGGGAATGATGTGACACGAGGTTGGGGGTAAGGCAGGAGTCTTTCTTTGTTTTGCTTAGGAATTCGGTGGTAGGGGAGGTTGGGGTCAGTTGGAAGGCATGACAGGGGATGGTGTTCCCCTGGTGACGGTGATCGAAGGTGTCACAGTAAGCAGGCTAGGCCATGTTACAATGATGGGGGAGAGGGTGTATTAGGTGTGCATTGTGGGTTGTTTACCTTTTTTTCGGTTGAGGTGTGGTATGGCCAGACCACCTTGGTAGCAGCAGGGGCACAAGCTGAACAGCATCTGTTAAAGACCCCTGAATGCCCACCTTGTACTTCAGCAGAAACTTTTGAAACTTTGTTATTCCCTGCTGTTCGTGCGGGAAACCATCTAGCTACCCAGGTGGATCCATAAGATGGGTGCCAGATGACCCAGGGGGACTGCTGGACAACCGGCTCAGTCACATAGCATGAGCAACGATATCAACATGCACATGCCAAGTTGATCTCCAACTGTAATGCATTGTACGGAGTCGGTGGACCGTATCCATCATAATTCTTCAATATACTCTCTTTCCATCGTTGTGTAGAAATAAGCTCATGGAGTCTGTGGACCTTATCTATCATACTCCTTCAACGTAGTCTGTTGCCATTATTGTGCAGAAATAAGCTCTCCGCTGACAACCTTTGTTTGGTATCTTCGTTCGAGCAATGTGCACTGGTCACGCAATGCTGTCCTAATATCTGCCACTTTCTGTTAGTAATTGTGCCAGAGTCATCTAGGCAGTCCTGGTTCCGCAGGCGTTTTCCTCCTGGCAGGTTGGCTCCCTTTTTTTTCCTCCTCTTTTTTTTTTGCACTTTGGTTCGATGGATCCTCGGGAGAAAAAATAATCCTTGGTTTTCTTTTGTATCAAGTTCTATCAACCTAATGTTTTCCCCTGTTTGCTTGTTTGCCTCAGGACTTCAAGAAGGATCCAGCACATATTGATGCGATTCCAACGTCCTCGCTGGACACCATAAAGGAGTAAGTTTGTGTACTCTTTCCTATTTTTAAGTCAGTTTGTGTGCTCTTTTCTATTTTTAAGTTTGTGTGCTCTTTTCTATTTTTAAGTTTGTGACACTTTGTGTGCTCTTTTCTATTTTTGCCTAGTCTCCTATTTGGGCCCCCAGCATCTAGT